AACAAGAGGGCCTAAGAAGCAAGCCTCAAAGGAAATTGGGTCTTGGAAGAGAGGGAAAGGAATGGATTAAAGATGGGTACATAAAGGGCTTCTACTGTGTCTACACTGTTTTGTTTGTTAAACTGGGGATTGGTACATGGGTGACTGCTATATGCATATATAACTTTTTATGTTATATGTATACATACGTGTTTTCATTTTCTTATTACACATTACTTACTTAAATGGCTTACTTAAAGTCTTTTAAGCCTAACTGGACATAGAATATGTTACACCCCCATACACCTTTAAAAAGGAAATGGTTCCCACCCACCCCCAGCCTGAAAAAACAAAACAAAACAAGAGTTTAAGAAATGGTTCACTGAAGGTCTTCCACTGTGTGAGAGGGCTTCTGGAGAAGCTAGCTGATTTTTTAAGACCATGAAGACTAACTGAGGAAGAATGGGCTTAAGTCAAAGGAGAAGAAATCGAAGATGGCCAGAGGAGGAAGTGCTTGAAAACCCTAGTTCTCGAACCCTGGATGGGCTGTCAAGAGAGACTACACTGTCTCCTTCCTTGGCTGACTTGGAGGAAAGCAGAGCTAGCCTCTCTTCTGCTGTAGCCTGAGGGTCTGAGTTACAGCCCTGAGGGCTTGGTCCTCACCCTAGGAGATCAGTGTCTTGGCTGAGCACCTTCCTTAGGAAGGGGCACGCAGAGCAGAGAGAGAAGGCAGGCTGTTGGCTTTTTCCCTTGTTCCTTCTACCTTGTCCCCAAGGAGAAGGGCTGCTCTGACTTCGTAAAGTTCAATGACAGTCATCAAACCACAGGGCTGGGGGATGGGTGTGTCTCTTTCTTGGGACTGTTTCTGTTTTTGTTTTTTTTTTAAATACACACACACACACACACACACACACACACACACACACACACATATATATATGATTTAGGTGAAAGTTTACAGAGCAAATTCATTTTCCACACAGCAGTTCATACACATTTTGTTTCATGACATTAACTGCAATTCCCCCACAATGTAACAGCTCTCTTCCCACTTCCTCCCAGTAGTTACCTCTTTGCTGTGTCCTTTCCTCCCACGCACTCTCACCCCAGGAGCTGTGTCCCTGTGCAAACACTGCCCCTCTGTTCTCCCACAATTAATCTCTCCAAGGAGTGTATCTACCTGATGTAAATGTTCACCTCATATGCCTGTCTACTGTTCGGCTGGAAGCCACAGGAGTGAGTTCAGTTCCAGACCTGAAGGGTAACTAGGGGCCAGAGTCTCAGGGGTCTCACCAGGCTCTATCAGACCAGCAAACCTGGTCTTTTTTTTTTTTAATGATTTTGATTTTTGTTCCACATTGTTCTCCCACTCTATCCAGGATCTCTTGCACCGATCCCCCTCCAAGAGGTTGACAGAGGTAGCAGGGTACTATCTAGTTCTTCTGGTCTCATGGTCATATAGGCTGAGGATCAAATGGTTTACTAGTCTCTTGGGACTGTTTCTTGAGGGATCCTTTCTTCCTTTTGCAGTCTGCGTCTGTTAGCTGACTTGTGGATGCCCTAGCTTGAGGGATTCAGGCAAACTCTCTTTCTTGAGAAGTGCTTGCTTTCATATAAGAGGCATAACACATTTCTCTCTCCCTGCTGCTGTGTCTTGGATTTGCTCTTTCTTTTCCCCAGAGGCCTCCTTGCCTTTTTTTGATTCTAACCCCAGGCTGCCCCTAGCAAGGGTGGAAGGATTTCTCTGCAAGGTCAAGCATAGACCACTGACCACTGGGGGGCTGCACACTGGCATCTGGATTCTAAGCCTCCTAATAAATACTGATCATTTGCTAGTTTTTGTCTTTTGTGCATATATTTTCCTCAAACACCTTGAAGACAGGACTGAGTTCTGGATTCTGTGGCCAAATGCCATCCTAATTTCTTCAGCTTCCCAAGAGACACCCAACAAACCCACCAGAGTAGGGGAATTCACCATGCCATCAGCAAGATAACACAGGTTCTAATGAGTAAGTGGCTCCTTGCAACCTACGCTATGGTCTTCAAGGGGTGCCCACTGCATTCTCTAAACACTCCTGCACAGTTGTCAGGACTATTTTGGTTACTAGGAGATAAATATGGAAAGGGACACAACATGTAGAAACTGAAGATTAAGGAGTTCTGGTGGCAGAGTGTCTAAGGTATCTGATTGCTAACCAGAAGGTTGGTGGTTCAAACCACCCACCAGCCACTCCGCGGAAGGAAGACCAGGCAATCTACTTCTGTGAAGATTTACCGCCTTGGAAACCCAATGGGGGTCGCTGTGAGTCGGAGGAAGGGGGAAAGGGGAAGCTTTTGTTTGGGAGGCACTGAGTTTATGCTAATGGTGGTGGAATATTTTAGAAAAGGATAGCAATAATGGTGGTACAACATGAAAAATGTCATCAATGTCCCTGAGCTGTAAATGTGGAAGTTGTTATGTTGGCAAATGTCTTGTTGTGTATGTTTTCATCACAAAAAAAGTGAAAAATAAAAAACATAAAAAAAGAAAGGGACTCAAAGTGTGTGTTGTACAATGGGGCTGCATGAAATCAGGGTAGGACACCAGGTGAATCTGAGGAGATCAAGGTCAGTGTTCTATACTCAATGGATTCTGCTAGTTTCTAAAAATTACAACTAATCTTTATTTTTTCCTGTTCTCATCTAGTTATGGCAAAAAAATAAAACAAAAATTGTAGTCAATGTCGTGAAACAAACTGTGTATTAACTGCTGTATGGAAAATGAATTTGCTCTGTAAACTTTCACCGAAATCACAATTAAAAAACAACAATAAATAAAACCAACCGTAGGGGAATCCCTTTGTTCAGGGAGAGACGGGAGACTAGCATAGCAAAAGCGCCTCTCCGTCTCTCCCTGTGAGTCCTTCCCCTCTCCTCTCTAATAAACTCTGGTTCATGTGGAAAAAATAAAAATAAAATAGAAAAGTTTCCTATTTATCTCAAAGTTTGAGGTTGAAAAGTCTTATTTCCCCTTCTAGTCCCTTTCAAGTCTTGTTAGGTCCTCAAGGGGTAACCATCAACCATCAACAGAAAATTTACTGGGTCACCAGTGATAAAGTTGTGACAAAGTCATTGCTAGGATTAACCCTTGCTTTAAGTCCCAATGAGAAAACATTTCCCATTCTGAACAGCTCTACAATTTGGAACATTTACTTCTTACCCTGCTTCTTGTGAAAGACTCATTTCCTATCAGAAATGCTTTGCTCTTTTTTTTTAGGAGGGCCCCAGAATAGAAAGGCAAGGGATTACACTGGAAGCGGAATTTTGTGTAGGCTCTGGCCAGACTTACAGTTTACAGTTTGAAAGCAAGTTGCTCATCCTTCTGGATTTCCCTAGAAATATCCCCAGCACAGACTGGCCTTCTCTGGCATTATTCCTTCAGCTCAACTCTTTTCTGATGTTTATGTTAAATGAAATGTAATGATTGTATCAGCAAATGCAGGGTCACACTCTTACCTGCTTTTTGTTTAAGCCCTGAGGTCAGACTTTCATCAAATATTGGAAAGATGCAGCCCCTGCCTCCTTTTTGGAACTGTGCCCAGAAGGACCAAGCACTGTGTAAACATTAACTGACAAGAGAAAACAAACATAGATCAAGTGACCTTGGACAAGTCACGTCACTTTTAACCATACTGCTTCAACGGAAGTGTGTGTGTGTGAGCTTGAGTGTGTGCCAAAACAAACAAAAAAACAAAAAAACCCAAACAGTCAAGTGCTGTGGAGTCCACTTGACTCATAGCAACCCCTCCTTGGGTTTCGGAGGCTGTATCTCTACAGAAGTAGGTTGCCAATCTTCCTTCTGAGGAGTGGCTGGTGGGTTTGGACACCAGCCTTCTGGTTAGCAGTCAAGTGCCTTAGGCACTATGCCACCAGGGGACATTAAATGTTCCCTCAAATGAAACTCATAGATAGCCATTGAGTCGATTTTGACTTAGAGCGACCCCCACTGGGTTTCAAAGACTGTAAATCTTTATGGAAGCAGACTGCCCCATCTTACTTCCATTGAGCAGCTGATGGCTTGGAACCACCGACCTACAGCTTTTTTAACATCCCACCAGTCAGATTTCTAGGAGCTCTGGTGGTGTAGTACCTAAGGCACTTGACTGCAAACCAGAGGCTGGTAGTTCAAACCCACCAGCCACTCCTTGGAAGGAAGACTACTTCTCTAGAGATACCGCCTCAGAACCCAAGGAGGGGTCGCTATGAGTGAATGGACTCCACGGCGGCGAGTTTGGTTTTTTAGTTTAGTTAGACTTCTAAGCAGGCTGGAGTCTAGTTGCCATGAAGCAGTGGGGAAAGGAGGAACCCAGAGACCCAGTGTCCTCTGAGTTTCACGCCACACAGAGCCCGGGGCACATCAGACCAGATTCCACTCAGCACAGCTGTACACGGAAGAGCAGGAACTGAGACCCCCAAGGCGGATGTAACGAAGTGGACGGGGACTCAAGGAGGAAGCCAAGTTATGAACCCTGAGCTATTAATAAGACACAATCCCTCCACTTTGTCCCAATGAGAAGTGACAGACAATAAGTAGCAGATAGTCACAGAGAGAAAACGGTACCCCAAGGGGTGCTCAACTCCTAGAAGAGCTCTCCAAAGCACTGATCCACACCTCCCTCTTCCAGCAGCAATCCCACCCATCGCCTTTTCCGCCGAGAGAGGCCCGGGTCCTGTTTAACGTTCCAGATCCTTCCCGTCTCCCTCCTCGCGCCAGGCTCCCCGCCGAAGAGCCGCTCCCCGCCCCCCCGCGCCGCAGACCGGCCCGGTGCCCGCAGCGGCGGCGTTCGCGAGCGCCGCTGCATTGGCGGCTGCGGCACTCAAGGCGCAGCCTCCAGCGGCAGCCGCAGCACAGGCGGCAGGGCGCTCGCAGCGGGAGCCCGTACCCACACCGGCAGAGGCGCGGGCAGCTCCATGGCCCGCGGCCGCAGCTCCTGCGCTCTGCTTCCGCGCGCCGTTCCCGCCGACCACCCGGGAGGGCCGCGATGCTGAGCGGGTCCGGAGTGGACAAGGCTCTGAAGATGTCCCTGCCCCGAAGGTCAAGGATCCGCTCGTCCGTGGGTGAGTAGAGTGGTGCTCGGGGCGGGGCGGCCGGAGGGTCTGCGCGGGGCGGCGGCGGGGCGGGCGCCCGCGGTTACCTGACACCTTCCCTCCGCCCCCCGGATTCCTGGGGCCCAGCCGCGGCCGCGCGTCGCCCTCTCTCGGGGGCCGCGCGCTCCTGCACCTGCGGAGCCAACAGGCCCGGATTCCCGGGTAGGGGCGTCAGAGACCCCGGCCCGGCCCCCGTACCGGGGTGTGCGTGCGCGCGCGCGCGCGGGTTTGCATGTGCGCATGCCCACCCGTCCACTGCGTAGTAATGGGGCGGAGGGAGGCGACCCCAGCGGATCCCAGTCTCCCGCCGCGCCCACCATTAAGTCGGGCCCCAGAACATCTCGCTGTCGACGCCTGGCTGGCCTCTCAGCGTGGGGTGTTTGCTGCAGAACTCAACGGGAACCAAGGGTCACACGAGTGTTTCTCACTCCTCGGGGCCCCGGGCCCTGGGTCCTTACGTACACACAGCAGCGACGCACTAGCTCACGACCACCCGCATAGACCCCCAGCCCTGTGGGGAAACACTGCCCAGACACCCCCGCGTGCAGGCGCCCGAGCGCGGGGCTCTGAACCGTTTAAAGCCGTGCATTCTGGCGCTTCAGAGGCAGCTCGCCAGCCGTTCACGTCCTTAGAAGCTTGGTGTTTTGTTAGTTACATTATATAACATATTTGGAAACCCACGTCTTGTGCTAGATGTGTTCGTGGTTAGGACACAATGGTTGGTTTTCTAGACCTCAGATAATGAAAAATTGCAAGGGAAGCTTCAAAAATAATTGCATTTCTGACCCTTTTAGGACTCCCTGCCAATTTGTAGGCAGATCTTGGTTAGAGAAAGGTACAGGAACTGCAGTTTGGAGCCAGGGTCACTTGTAATCGTCGTGTTTGGTTGTTTTAAGAACAGGCTATAACCATAAGTGGCTTTCCTATTTCTATAGTTGAGGAACGCGAGAGGAAAACTGTGCTCGGGTAGTTTGAACCCGTGTTTCTCAAACTTCGAGTCATGTCGAGGCACCTTCAGTATTCATTTGGAGAAGAACACTGGTTGACAAGGATGGCTTTGGCTGCAGGGTTGGGAACAGACAGGGGACAAATGGCTGAGGTTGGGAGGCCAGCCAGAGGCGACTGCGGCAAGCCACGTGAGAGAGATGGGGCTTGTACCAGGGTGCAGGAACGGGCTTGGGAAGGAGCTGGTATGTTCTGAAATGGTCTGATGGGAATCCGGGCCTGTTGATCCCACAGGTGCAGCATAGGTTCTTGATTTGCAGGTGGGGCTTAAGTAAAAGAGGAGAGCCAAAGATGACTCCAAGTCTGTCTGATCCAAGAAACTAGAAGCATGTACCCTCTCCTGCCACCGGGACAACTGCAGAAGCAACAGGGCTTTCTTGCGGGCAGGAACATCAGAAATTTGGTTTTGACCGTGCTAGTCTGAGATGCTCACCAAATGGAGATTGTTCAGTGGGGAGTTGAATGTATGAGCCTGGTGTGCAGGGATCGGCCTAGACTACACATTCCAGAGTGGGCAGCGGGACTCACTCCACGGTGTGTAACAAGGTGCCCTGCTTAGGAGTGCTGTGGGTGCTGTAATACTTTCCTGTTGCTGTCCTGACGTTCTTAACAATTTTTGAACAAGGGGGCCCACTGCCTTTTCCCTCTGCACCAGGCCCTTCCAATTGTGTTGCTGGTCCTGGTTGTCACTGTGTATAGATGTAGCTGGAAGCAGAGTGGTTCTAGGATGGAGCCCTGGGCACTTCCACACTGAGAGGTCAGGGAGAGTGGGGGGAATGTCAAAAGGGAAAGAGGGGCTGGCCAGTTAAAGCAGCAGAGAACCTGGAGAGGGCCCTCAGAAGCCAAGTGAGGCTTATATGTTCTGGAAGGAAGGGAGTGTTCACCTGTGCCAAGTGCTGCCCGAGCTCAACAACGAGGCATGAGAACCGACTGCTTGATTTAGCCACACGAGGTCATTGGCGACCTTGAGAAGAGCCGCAGTTGTGTAATCATGGCAAAGAAGGCCTGACAGAGTGGGCTCAGGACAGGAATGGGAGATAGCAAGTACAGACAGCTCCTGGGGAATTTGTAGAAAAAGAGGGGAGAAGATAATTGAGGAAGCTGTGAGTGAAAGAGAAACAAGAGAAACAAGACACAAGAGAGCTTGTTTGGTTTTATTGAGCAGATATTAAAGGGGTGTAGTCTTTTTTTTTTTTTTTTATTGTGATTTGGGTGAAAATTTACAGTGTAAATTCACTTTCTGTGCAGCAGTTCACATACACTTTGTCTCATGACATTGGCCGTGATTTACCCCAAGGCAACAGCTCCCCTCCCCCTTCCTCCCCATACTTACCTCTTCCCAATGTCCATCCCTCTGTGCACTCCTGCCTCTGAGCTGTCTCCCTGTGCATAAACAGCCCTTCTTTCTCCCATGATTGTTCTCTCCAAGCAGTGTATCTACCTCAGGTAAATGCTCAACTCATATGCCTGTCTATTGTTTGGCTGGAAGCCACAGGCATGGGTTCAATTCCAGACCTGAAGAGCAGCTAGGGGCCATTGTCTAGTGGTTCCACCAGGCTCTATCAGACCAGCAAACCTGGTCTCCCTCTTTTTTTTTCCTCCAAATGATTTTGAGTTTTGTTCCACATTATTCTCCCTCTCTATCCAGGATCTCCTACATAGATCCCCCTCTGAGTGGTTGACAGTGGTAGCCAGGCACCATCTAGTTCTTCTGGTCTCATAGTCATATAGGCTGCAGATCAGATGGCGTACCAGTCACTAGGACTCATTGTTTCCATGAATTTTTGGTTTTCTTCTTTCTTCTTTGCTCTGGACAAGGAGAGACCCCAAAGTGGTGTAGTCTTATGACATGAACTTCAAATCGGGTTTGTAGGGAGGAAGAAGGGACAATGATCTGAGACCTGGGGACAGGGTTGGCAGGTAGAGCAGTTAAGGCTAGAAGGTTCAGGGACAGTCAGAGATGTGGAGGAGACCGGAGCTCTTGCAGATGGTAGGCTGCATACTCCAGACGCCCCAGTGGAAGGTGTTTAAGAGACGAGGTGCACTTAGATTACAGAATAATGTCATGGGGAGTGTAAGTGCTTTGAGGTGGCTCATACCAACTTGGGTAAAGCCGCATATAAACCAGATGGAATTAGGTTCCATGGTGTCCAAGACGCACTGAGTTGTCGAGGCTTTGAGTATTGGATGAGGAGGGTGGGCTGAATGCTGTAGGATCCCACCAGGAGGGTCTGGAGCTCGGAGAGCCCTTCTTCTCTCCAGGTGACAGAACTTTGGAGGCTGGCAGAGAGCCCAACTTGAGGCTTTGGACCCCTTCCTTACTCAGTCTTCAAAAATGCTTTGGCTCTTTTGGCCCCTTATGCTTCCATATATGTTTTTAAAAGAGCCTTTTCTGAAAACAAAACAAAACAACAAAAACATCCTGTTAGGATTCTGATAAGATTTGCATTAAGTTTATAGATTAATCAGGAAACAGTAGACTTTTCAACACTGAGTCTTCTTAACCAAGGACATAGCGTATCTCAACAGTTATATATATTTCCTTTTGTGTCCTTATAAGGTGTTACACTTTTCTCTGTGAAGTTTCTATCCATTAACAAGATGTATTCCAAGATTCTTTTTGTACTGTTATGAATGGGAATGTAATTTAAAAATTACAGTTTTAACTGATTGTTGCTGCTGTGTAGGTTAAGGTATTGGCTTTTGTATTGATCTCGTGTCCAGCAACCTGGTAAACTTTCTTGAAACTTCTGGTAGTTTATGGAGTCTCTTGATTTTTTTTTTTTTCTTGTGGACAATCTTACTATCTGCAAATATCAATTTGGTTTCTTTCTTTGTAATTGTTACAACTTTTATTTTTTTCTTATTTGATTAGATTTGTTAGCACTGCCAATAAAAGGTAGATTAGGAGACCCGTTCTTGTTTTGTTCTTTGAACATTAAAAAAATTCTATTTTGAGTGTGATATTCATTGTTCATTTTCTGTAGCTATCCTATGTTACTCTGAAAAGCTGCTCTTCTGTTCTGACCTGGTATTTAAGCAGGGGCAGAGGTAGATTTACTGCGTGCCATACAATAACCACAGTATCTCTGGTGGTGTATCGATTAACGCATTCAGCTGGTAACGGCAAGCTCAGTGGTTCGAACCCACTAGGGAGAAAAGATGAGGCTGTGGCCTTCCGTAAAGATCGACAGCCTTAGAAACCCTGTGTCCTCTAGGGGCGCTGTGAGTCAGAATCCATTCATTGCAGTGAGTTTGGTTTGGGCTTTGTTCCCTTAAAGATTGACAGCCTTGGAAACCCTATGGGGCAGTTCCACTCTGTCCTTTATGGGCACTCTGAGTTGGAATCAACTCTAGGCAGTGGGTTTGTTTTTTGGTTATACAATAACCACAGTGGACCAAGAAAATACTTAAAGATCCCTGGGTGGTTGTGAGGTCTCTGCCTTTCCTCTCTGGATAGTTGTGTTCATTAAAAAGAAATCATGGCACACCTGTCAGAATGGCTAAAAAAGAAATAAAAATAGCGATAACACCAAATGCTGGCAAGGAGAAACTGGGTCCCTCACACATTGCAGGTGGGCCTGTTAAGTAATATAGCTTCTATGGAAGAAAGTTTGACAGTTTCTTACAAAACTAAATATGCAACTACTGTATGATACACCAGTTACATTCTTGGGCATTTAGTCCAGGGAAAGAGAAACTTAGGTTCATACAAAACCCTGCCCATGATTGTCCACAGCAGTTTTATCCATAAGAGTTAAAATCTAGATGTGCTTCCGTGGATGGGTGATTTTACACAAACTGTAGTACATCTACACCATGGAATGCTACTCAGCAATCAAAAGAAAGGAATTACTGGTACAGGTAACGACTTGGACGGATCTACAGGGAATTATACTGAGTGAGAAAAGCAAATTCCAACAGGCTACACACTATCCGATTCCATTCATGTAACACTCATGAAA